CATGGCAAAACCCCATCTCTACTAAAAAATACAAAAATTAGTTGGGCATGGTGATGTGCACCTGTAATTCCAACTACTCTGGAGGCTGAGGCAGGAGAATTGCTTGAACCTGGGAGGCAGAGTTTGCAGTGAGCCGAGGTGGCGCCACTGCATTCCAGCCTGGGTGACAGAGCTAGACTCTGTCTCAAAAATAAACAAACAAACAAACAAATAAATAAATACATTCATGGATATAGCAAAATCAGAACTCACAACTATGCAAAGGGCTGGTTTCAAATTTGCAAAGATACAGTAGCCTGGACCTAGACTGATAACTACCTGTCATGCCAACATCACAGGTGTCCCTGCCAACAGCTTGGGGTGCTCCTATCAGTTGGTCTAACAGAGGGGGAAGAGGGCAGAGCAAGCCATGAGGATTCATTAGGGTTCTTTACATGTGTCTTCCTGTTATGTTTGGAAGGCTGAACACCGGTGTGTCTGGAACGAAGGGACGATGATGGTATCGTCAAGCAAAAAGTGGCAGCGCCGAGGTGACTCTGCCTTACTGCTTTTGGGTACCTTTGCAAGAGACTCATACAACTAGACCTGGGAGGCAAGTGCCTCTTTTCTTTTTTTTTTTTTTTTTTTTGAGACAGAGTCTCACTCTGTCTCCCAGGCTGGCGTGCAGTGGCATGAACACAGCTCACTGCAGCCTTAGCTTCTGGGGCTCCAGCAATCCTCCCACACTCAGTCTCCCAAGTAGCTGGGGATACAGGTGTGCCCCATCATACCTGGCTAACTTTTTGACATTTTTGTAGAGATAGAGTCTTGCCATGTTGCCCAGTCTGTCCTCAAACTCCTGGGCTCAAGCGATCCTCCCTTCTCGGCCTCCTAAAATGCTAGGATTACAGTCATGAGCCACCGTGCCCAGCCAACATCTCTTCTAAAATGTAAAATATCTCTGGGGAAGTTAAGAGTCTTGTTCAAGTGACTCATGTGTTAGTATGAAATGGTTTAACTTCTCTGTCTTTCTCTTAACACCTCTTGAGCATTGAGAATATAGGTATTTTCAAGGGGCTGCGGGAAGGAGTGTAGAAGGAAATAGAAGTTGATTATCATAGTCGTCGTTGTTGTTATTAGTTTTGTCTAGAGGGCATACCCCAGTGGGAAAGGCCTTGGTTGAGACTGCACTGGAGAGGTGACAAGAGACATTTGAATATGAGAATCTTTGAAAGTTAAAGTACTCTCAAAGGACGATGGAAGAGTTCTAAAATAGAGCTTTTTCCTCTTGTTTTCCCAGAAATTCTCTCTGGAACTGAGCATGGTATGTGAGCTATTACTACGCTTGAACTGTTTTGGAAAATAAAACTTGGCTGGGTGTGGTGTCTCACACCTGTAATCCCAGCACTGTGGGAGTCCAACGCGGGCGGATCACCTGAGGTCAGGAGTTCAAGACCAGCCTGGCCAACACGGTCAAACCCCGTCTCTACTAAAAATGCAAAAAATTAGCCAGGCATGGTGGTGTATGCTTGTAATCCCAGCTCTTTGGGAGGCTGAGTCAGAAGAATCTCTTGAACCTGGGAGATGGAGGTTGCAGTGATCTGAGATCATGCCACTGCATTCCAGCCTGGGCGACATAGCCAGATTTCATCTCAAAAAAAAAAAAAAAAAAAAAAAAAAAAAGAAAAGAAAACTCCATGTATCTGGACAAGCTAGGCAGGGGTGAGGATAGAAGATGAGCCAGAAACATTGTTAAGCTCCCTCCTTTCCCAGGATGCCACTCTACCTAGCCTTTGTCCAAGAGGCCTTCATGCCTAATTGTAGCTTTCGACAGGAAAAGCTGGACAGCTGCTAATTTAATTACATCGAATATGGGTGGTATTTATTGAGCCTTCTGTGTAAGGCACCTTCTTAATGTCCCAGCTTCCACAACAGTCACCACCTACCATCCACCTACTACAAATCTGACCATAGGATTTCTAGGCGGAGAGGAACCACCCCCTGTCCCCACCACCTTGGGCTTCATCTGAAGGGGCCACAGCCCAAGCCAGCCACTCTGACATTTTGTTTTGTCTCCATTCGGTTCTGAGGCTGACACTGAGCAGGTTGTCGCAGAACTGCCAGAGAGAAGTGTGAGGGCATATTATGGCATGGGAGGTATTATTTCCAAATGGGGGAAGGAGAGGAAGCAGACAAAGAAGGGCCTTCCGCTGTCGTTAGGATTTTCACTTACATGTTTCCAGAGCACCAATGATGGGAAGTGTTTGCTTCTATAAGTGAACTCAAGGCACAAAAAAAAAAAAAAAAAAACCGATGCAAAAGAACACTTTTAAAAAGGCTCTTGCCCCCAATTACATCAGCTCCATCCAGCAGGGCCAGGCAGTGCGAGGCTGGAATGCTTTCCAGGGCCTCCGTCAGGGAGAAGCGGAGAGCTGCCCTCCTCATCTCTGAAAATGGTGCTTTTCCCAAATTGCTTTATCAAGTTTCCCTCTTTGCAATGTGAAATGACACCCTCGAAGCACCCTGTTTGAGTCTATCGTGTTATATACATGTGGTGGCTTTAAGGCAGTCTGGGAGGGGCTCCTAGGGAGGTGAGGAGGAGAGCCCTGAGGCCGAGGCACCTTGCTTGCTTTTGATGGAAAACTGCTCTCCAAAAATGGCTCCAGAGAAAGCAAGCCTGGGGATAGGGAAGGGGGAGTGGAGAAGTTTAGATTCTTTTTAAAATGGAAATTATTTATTTCCACTGCAAAGAAGACATTTCCCTCCAAAGGGGGAAAACGTCTTAAAGACACCTCCCCCAGCTCAGCTAGTGCTGGGACACAAGCAAAATGCCTGCCGGGTGGGTAAATTATCTTGGGAGGAGAGAGTCTGAATAGAGGGGAAGACAGAGAAGCAGAAGCCAGGCATAGTGTGAGCCGATTCCAGCAGAGGCTGAGAGCAGCGAGGGGCCTGGGCTATGGGATACATAATTGGCTAACGAATAATAAAGCCAAAATTGGATATTAACAGCAATTAATTTCTGTAGAGGCACTGGAGAAAAGAGCTGCAGAAAACCCCATTGGGCCTTAAGCCGAAGCAACTGAAATTAAACTAGTGTCTCAATTAAATGGGAATAAATATTGCCACATCAATCTGTGTGGAGTGGGAGGGGGCTGATGGAAGCCCCTCGTGCAGCTCAGGGCACTATCTGCATGTCCGAAGGTCTCAGTGGTACAGCCTCAGTCAGGCACATCCTGGTCCTGACCTGTGTGGCCTGTAGAGGCCACCCGGCCCGTGACCTTGAGGCCAGGGCTCTGAAGGTTGTTTCAGGGCAAGGCTTGTTGACCCAGAGAAACCTTGCAACACTCCCTGTACGCTGTTGGGCCCAACAGATGAGGAAACGGAAGGCGTTTTGAAAAGGGAGACCGCGTCCTAATGGCAGCAGCGGATGCATTTGCAAGGAGATTCCTGAAGACAGAAGGAGCCTTCTGAGCCTTCCTTCCAACCGACTTCGAGCGGCTCCGTCCCCTCCTGCGTCGCGTCTGGAACTAACGCTGACTAAGTCCGAAGGAGGAATGGGTCTCTTTCTTTGTGGCTTGAAGATTTTTGTTGTGGTTTTGGCTTCTATGGAGAGGGTTGCAGGGGTAGGGAAGGAGGGGGTTTGGGGATGCAGAGGACACGTCGCTGGGACCTGGGGGAAGATGCCCGCTCTCAGGCCGGGTACCTGGGGGTATCCGGGAGACGAGGCTGGGGGTTTGGGAGGGGTGTCCTAATGGGAAGTCCAGGAGGATGCGCTGGGACGGACCTCCCACTCCAACAAATAAAACCCAACCCCCAAGCTATTTCACCGTGAGGTCCTCTCCCCACCTCCCTCTTCTCCGTACGCCTTCCCAGACTGCACCTGCCAGCCCCTCTTTCTTGCAAGTTCTGAGGCTTTCCGGGGTGCAGGATGGGGTCCACTAGGCCGCAGGTCCTGAAGTGGATCGGAGAGAGACTGGGAGGAGGACAAGGGGAGCGGGGCTGCAGGCGCCAGGCGCATAGACGGGCTGGCTGCGCCGCGGGGAGGGTGCGAGGTTTAGGCCCAGGCCTCTGGCTCCGGAGTGCTGCCGGTGGCCAGGGGAGGGCGCAACCTCCCGCCTAGCCCTTTGGTGTGGCTCGGCCACCTTTGGAAGCTCAAGATGTACCCTCCTCTTGATTCGCCCCAGTTCCAGCCCCCGACTCCATAATAATCTCTAACGTTGACCGTCGAGGGTCCATTTGGCGCTAGAGTGAAATTGATGTGCGTGGAAAAGGAAAAATGTGACCTCTACGGGGACAGTCCCTGGCTTTTGTCACCCAGAGCTGGGGGCGCCCTGACCTCTTCACCTCCCCATCGCCTTAAAACTTGGGATTGTAGCGCATCCTAGAATGAACCTGAGACTGACCCGCGTCTACCCACACCTTGTTTGGGCCCAAAGCTTTGGGAACCGCAGGAGGACCCGAATCTCAGGAGTTCCAGGTCTGCGAGATTCGGGAGAGAAAGGAAAAAAATATATATCAAGACTGGGAAATGGAAGCAAAAAAGAAAAGGGGAACCAGCGCCTGCTCATCTTCGCCTTGCTCCATGGAGAAGTCTCGGGTGCATTCGGAAAGAAAGAGACGAGAATGCCTCGTGCGTGCAGGGAAGCGAGTCACCGGGAGGCCCTGGGCGCGGTCCGGGCCGGCGGGGGCCGAAATGGAGCCCGCACCCACCTTCGCGGGGCCGCAAGTCGCTGCAGAACCGCCCTGAGAACCTCACACGAAGCTGCAACACGCGCTTGCGGCCAAACTACCGCCTCCTGGACCCCAGGCCTCAGCATTTTGTGTGTGCTTAAGCAACAGATAGGTTGGATTTGAATTTCGAAGGAACGCTCCCACGGTAATTTTGAGAGAGAAAGCCCTTCGTGATTCTGGAAGTTTGTTTTTTGGGCCCCGGAGTCCCTGACCCAAGCCCTCAGGTCTGGGTAGCGTTTCTATTTTAAGACAAAAGGGAGAAGGATAAGAAATGAAAAGATGAACCTACCGAGAGTTGGTGACACTTTTATTTCTGACCTGGAACATTCTTTGCCCTCAATAAGGCCTGATTTTATTTTATTTTATTTTTTTGAGGCCATCTAAATTTGGTGCCGGAGATCATTCCAGGCCTTCCGAACAGCTCTATAAGGCAAACACCAGCACACATTGCCTCGTTGAATTCCGTTTGAAGTCCTTTTTTTCTTCTATTTCTACATTTGTGATACAATTAAGTATTAAAAACATTTTCTTAAAAAAAGCTGAAATGAGATTGAGAAAGACTTGGCAAAACACCCAGTGAAAGAATTGTAGATGGGACATGGAGGAAAAAATTCTTTATTAGGTACCATCATTCTCATTCTCGTTACTATTGACATCCTTGTCACTGTGAATCAGCTAGCCCAGCCTCCAACACACATACCCCCAGCACAACACCTCATGTTGACTCATGGGCCCTGAAACCACCCACAGAGTAGATGAGGAAAGGGCGGCTCCATCTGTCCCAGGGAGAACGCTTTGCAGCTGCCCCCAAAAGGCTCCATTCTCAGGTTGGAATGGGAGGGGGTATTATGTAAGTTCAAGAGGAGGAAAGGGAAAATGATTTCCCTGTGGAAGCAGCATAGGTGGATGGACTTTTGGTGCCTACATGCCTTCCTCTAAATGCTAGCACTGGATATGGTTATGTGGGGAAATGTATGTATGTATGTGTGCACCTGGGCACACCCCTCCCCCGAATATTTCTCTGGCAGAAGCTCCTCATACATTCACAAAAGCCGCCCCCTCCCTTTGGTAACATAAGTAACTTACAGGAGTTTACCTTTGCCTCTGTTAGAAGGTCAATCTCTTTTCCGCTTAAGCGGAGATCTGGGCTGTCAATGGTGGGGAAAGAAGAGTATTACCAATTTTTCCTTTGGTACATTTCTAAATCCGAAAGTATCTGGTACAGTTACCACAAGAATCATGTTAGCTCGCAGGACTGTGATGGCAGTGGTGTGTATAAACCCATCAGGGCCTTCTTTGCACATCCAGTCAGCAAACTGTCTCTACCCTGTCCTACTTTTTCCTAACCGTATAATTCCCCTTTCATGGAAGCCATAGACTGTAGTTAGAGGTGCTCAAATAGGGAAGAGAAGAAGATGCCAAAGAGTTAAATGCCCTCAAAGGGGAGACATTTTCAGATTTCTTGTAAAATGACTGGTGGCATAAATAGGCCCCAAACCCAGAAGGAAAGGGCTGACCTTCACGGGGCCACCTTGTTTGAGCACAGAAGGGGCCTTGCAATTACACACGGGGCCAAGTTGTCCATTCCTATCTTTGCCACTTTCGGCCATTGAAGCCCTACATAGACATGCATTTTGTAATGAGACCCACCCGGCGGACAGAGGCAAATACCCATACCCATGCACACAGACCTAGCAGACCCAGAACATGCCCGCACACGTGAACACTTTCTGGAGCAAGAGTTTATATAAGTAATGAAGTAAAAAATATGCCCCTCCCATCCTAGATTATCCGAAGCAGAAACCTGGCAGGCAGGCGGCGGCCATGGTACCTGCGGTTTAAGCTCTCAGCTTAAAGCATCTGAAAGGGGCATTACGTGGGGAAGCATCTGGAGATTTGACCAGAGGGCACATCAGTGAAGGGTACAGCAACCTCTGAAGGTATTATGCAGAAGCAATTACCGAAAAGAGGCTCTCCAATGTGGAAGTTTGTGGGGCAAAGGGTTTAGTAATCAGAGGCTTAAACCATGCTTAAAAGAAGCATCCAGCAGCCTTCACAGTGAGCAGAGAGGGCAGAGCAAGGGGCTTTACACCCCAACGAGGCCCAATATTGACTGCTTTCTTCTTCCTGAACCTGTCCAGAAAGGGCAGCAGAGACCCCAGGACTTAGGAAGCTACCAGTTTCAAGAGAGGTATATTTTAAAGGCAGTGGTGACTAGACAAGGCTTGTTAAGGTGCAGGGGTGAGAAGCTGTTCTCCTTTCTGTCCTGTGGCCAAGCTTGCCTTCTGGGACTCCAGAGGTAGCCCAGCACCTGCAGTCTGCAGGATGTGCACTGCAGGTTTCTCTCCACAGGGGCAAGCAAGTTGTGGCACATTCTGCAGACCCAGAGAAGGTTCTGGAAGTACGTAGGTGGGGTGCAACACACTTAACCTCTGCCTGATTCCAAACACTCCCTTAGGAGGCCAAATGAAGAGCCTAAGAGATAATAATTACACAAGGATTGCACATAGTAGGCACTCAATAAATATTTGGGGGAACTGAGGCTAGGGAAGGGCCCTGGTTCAAGGCACCAGTGAATGCTAATTTATTTAAGTGGCTAGACTGAGGCTTTGGAGAGGAAAGAAGTCCTCAGTAAGCTTCAGTGGAGACTCTCAGGCCTTGATTGCTGTGTCAGGAATCAAATTAATCTCCTAAGCATCCCTTATAGCCTTGGCCTTGCAAAGCCAGGCCTCTGCCATGCTCGGGGGAAGGGATGCAGCAGGCTTCCTGGGCAGAAGGATCCAGCTCTTGGCCTCTTTTCTCTGCTCCTCCCTCTGCTGCAGGGACCTGCCCCTCCTCCATTTCCTCCACCTGGAAATTAATGAGCTTAGGTCTTGCCCCATCCGCTGCAGCTTGGTGGTTAATACAGAGCTGGAAATGGGATGAGATTGTGGCAGCACAGTACGAGGGGGGTCTCTAGGACCAGCTGCTGCTCAGGGTCTAGTGATGGGAGGAAGGCCTGATTTGGGAAGCAGGTTCTTCAGGATGAGGGAGGCTTAACCCTTTCAATTCCCTGACAGCCTCTTTCAAAACAGTCTTTCCTCAGACCCCCACTTGCACACATTCTGTGTTTCCTTCTGTTCACATTTTTAAAGGAACACATGCTTCCCTGGGGTCCGGGTCGGTTATTGTGCCTCTCCCTTCCTCTGCAGCTCTTGGATCTCTGCCTGAAACTGCAATAACAGCTACAGGGAAGGCGTGAGGTGCTCCTTAGAGCTATGGCCAGGCTTTCAGCTCAGATGGAGCTTGTGAACCTGCCGGGAGCTGGCTCCTTCTTGTCCACCTAGCCCAACGACTTCCTTAAGCTTGTCAGGTGCTCTCAGCTATACAGCAAAGGGTGACAAACAGCTTCCCCTCTCCCTTCCAACCGCCTTCTCTCCTCCCCAAACCTCAAGCAGAACACAAGATATCCGCAGTCCAGGCCCTGGGGCAGTCTGCCAGTCTCTGGATGCCAAATGATTTTTTTTTTTAAAAGGGCAAACCAAAAAACTAAGCCCAGAACAAAAACACAGCCACGGAGAAAGGTGTTGACCCACATACAATGAGTCCTAAGCCCAGAGAAAAATCTACACACACAAGCACTCCGCAATGCGCTCCCAGGCGACCCCCACCCCACGCACGCCGCATCTGTGCTGCACAGATCTGCTTCTGTCACAGAATCAGCTTCTGTTTCTCTCCCTGAGTCTGTTTGCATCTCTAAGCCCCTGTCTGTCACAGGCTGCACACCTCCCCACCCCACGGGCTCGGGACCCTCAGCCGGAGAGAGTTCGAGACCCCTCCCCTCGCGCCCGCAGCCGCTGCGCGGAGGTCTGCGGAGGGCGCCCGGCTCGGTCGGTGGCTCCTTCCTTGGCGGGCCCTCGCGGACCCAAGGTGCTCAGCCAGCCCCATTCTTGGCATTCACCGCGTGCCTTAATTGTATGGACATTTAAATCAAGGTCCGCTGTGAACACGGAGAGAGAGGCCTTTCTCCTGAGGAAGGAAAGGACGAAGGAAGGAAGGAAAGGTGAAAGAAAGGAAGCGGGGCTAGGTAGAAGATGGAATAAGAAAACCAGGAAAAAGAAATAAAAAGCGGCGCGTGTAAGTGCGCACTGACAGCAGGGAGACGGATGGGGGTGGGGGAGCACCGGAGGAAGGGACCACAGCATCCTCCCCGCCGCAGCTCCCTCAATCACACAGACAATGAGATAACAGCGACGTCTTCCAAAGGCTCTTTGTTCTCCCCCATCCTTTCGCATCCAGGCTTTTTCCTGCAAAGCGGAGGGGGTGGAGGGATGGGGGTGTGGGTGGAAGTGGGAGACGGAGGGGTGCCTCCCCCGTGTTAATTACCCCGGCTCCCTTCGCCCCTCTCCCCGCGCCTCGCCTCCCCTGCAGCTCCAGACAATGAAAAAACAACACCGACCCCACCTCGCCCCAGCGCAGTAAACCCACCCACCCATGTTGCCCTCCGCTTTGCCCAAGAAACTGAAGGGGGCTAGGAGAAGGAAGAAGAGGGCGAGGGACGAGGAAGGCAGCGGGGGCTCGGCAGCGGCAGCCGGGGCAGGGCGCGCGGCCGCCGCCTTTACCTCGGTGATTGAGTGCAGGCGCAGCCGGGCCGGGCGTGCCGCAGGCGCTAGCAGACGCGGTCCGGGGCCGGGACCTGGGGATTCAGCCTTCCGGAACTCGCCCGCCGCAGTCCTCTCGTTCAGGTCCCAAGTGGTGAAGGGGGGAAAGGGAAAGAGAGAGAGAGAGAAAGAGAGAGAGAGAGAGAGAGAGAGAGAGAGAGAGAGAGAGAGAGAGAGAGAGAGAGAGAGAGAGAGAAGGAAAAAAAACCCCATAAGAGCGAGGCCCATCTGGCCCCTCATCAGCTTTGTCAAGTCTTGCATACGCTAAAATGCTAATGACCTAGATAGCTCATGCAAAATGCAGCAGGGAGGGCGGGAGCGAGGGAGGTGGGAGGGAGGAAGCGAGAGGAGTGCAGGGGGGAGCGAGGGAGGAAAGGCGGAGGGAGGGAGAGAGGGAGAGAGCACCCCTACACTCTCCCCACCCCACCCCCAGCTGTCAACGGGCTTTATCAGGTAAAGGGTGGACGTAGATCTAAAAGGTCACTCGTGTATAATGCGGCTGGATCCCCGGGTCAAAAAAAAGAAAAGGGGGTGAGACAGAGGACGAGTCCCCAAAGCCACAGGGACAATAAGACATTATTTTAAGCCACCCCCTCCATGCCCTCCTCTACCTCTCCACTCTGTTTACACACAAATCCTGTCGCCGCCTCATGCATGTGCACGGACATGTCAATTTCTCATCAATTTCTCAGCGCTCCCGTCAACAGACACCCACATTCTCATTCCCAGCAAAACTCATCCTGTGGACCCGAGGGTGGGGGAGACCCCTTCTCCTCCGAAGTGCTCCTCGGACTGGCCCATCCCCACTCATCTCCACCTTGACCTTCTACTCCTTTAGCCCTCCAGGCAGCAGGGGACTCCTTCCCTTTTCTAAGCCTAGAGTCCCCTGTCCCCTTCCCAACCGCCTCGTCTTGGGAAGGCGGGGCAGGGTAGCAGGAAAGCCAAGTCAAGTCCACTTGGGTCTCCCACAATTCAGCTACCCCTCCCAAGAAAAAAAGAGAATCCAAAAACCCCGACCCCTCACCTACGTCGACACTGAAAGCAAGACACAAGGACAAATACAATTCAATCCGAATACCCTCAGCGGTCTGCACGCCTGGGCGGACGCTCTTCCGCAGCGGCCACGCGTGTTCCGGGGCCAGCGCTCCTGCTCATCCCTTCTAGCTGAGCCCAAGGTGCTTTGTCCCGGCAGCCACACAAGGTCTTCAGCTTTTTGTTCTCCTTTTTACGAGACTGGCCACAATCCCCAGCGATTCAGCCAGCCCAACCAAAGACAGTGGATCTACAGAAATGAAAGGGATCGAGATAATACACAAGCAGATGAATGAGTGGGGGATGCTGGAGGTGGTGGAAGCATTCTGGGGGTGTCGCCGGGCCGAGCCCGAACTGCTTGTTGCCTTCGCTGGGGAAGGCGCAGGCGGCGAGCCGGCGCTGGTGGTCTTTCCACCTGGCAGGAGGAAATGATAACCATGATAAGGAAGGTGATGATGATGATGATGATGAGCATGATAAAAAAAAATTGTCTCCCCTTGGTGAACCAGAGCATGCGTGCCAGAGGGACTGCACTGCTGGCGGCGGCGGCCTGGGGAAGGAGAGCGGCGCAGGAGGCAAAGGTTGCGGAGGCAGCACCCTCGGATGAATAATAACACCGCGCCGCGAGTTGCGGAGCCGCCTGGAAATCCAGCCCTTCGCGTGAACTCGCGTAGAGCGCGGATTGCAGGGGATGAGGAAGAAGGGGGAGGGGAGGGGAGGGTGGAGGAGGGAGGGGGAGGGGTAGAGGGGAAGGCAGAGAGGGACATAGAGAATTGGGAGCCTTTTAATTTAGCCTTACCAAGCCCTAATCTTGGGCGCCGTCCTCTTTGGGTGAGATCGACTCCGCTTTAAAAATTATTCCTTTAACGGATTATTCAGGTAAAAGAAGACACATCTGCTGACGGTTCCGAAAACAAGAGGATTAGGAGCCGGTCCACAGAGCCAGGCCCGCAGCCCCCCACCCTCTCTGCACCAGCACACGTCATTCTCACTGCCCCCGGGTACCTCCCTCTCCTTCGTGCTCCGGGAGAGCTGTGCCAAGGAAAATGCGGATTTGGGGAAAGTGAGAAGTGGGAGCGCTCGGAAGAGCGGGAAAGCCAAGGCCGGAGGTGGCGATTCGCACCCCCACACTCACAAGCGCTTCCGTTTATCAGTTTCTATCCCGGGAGAAGGGGGCGCCTGCCCGAGCCCACGCGCGCCGCCGCATCTGCAGTGGTCGGCGCTCTACGCTCCCTGAACGCCCCCTGGGCAGCAGCAGTCCGGGGCAGTGTCCCCTCCGCGGCCGCGGGCGCCAAATCGACACCTGATTCTACCGCCCCCTTCCAACTCCTCTTCCCCTTCCTCCGCCCCGGGGGTCCCGGCATCGCCGGGCGTCCACTCCCGGTCTCTCCCGCTTAGGCAGACGGATTGGGGGGTCTCCCGGGACCCGCGCGCCCTCCGCTTCTCGGCCCTGGCGGGAGGCTCCGGGCTGCGGTTTCCGCGGGCCGCGGCGCGGGCGAGGGCTGCCGGGGGCTGCGGCGGATGCGGTTGACATCACTGCGGAGAGCTCGCGGCTGCCGGGCCGCTGCGGCTACCCGAGCGCCGGTGCCGCCTCCCCCACCCCGCCCCGGCGGGCCTCTGGGCAGGACAGCGGCGGGGGGTGGGGGAGGAGTGGGGGGGAGTGGGGCGATCATACCATCCCCCCGCCCCCCCCGCAGTCAAGGTGAACGTGAAGGAGAGCGGGCGCGCGTGCCCGCGGCTGGGATGCACGCGCGCCCCGCCCCTCCCGGAGCCCTTCCACGCGCCGGGGCCAGATGGACGCCCGAGATTAGAGGCGCAGAAGTGCGCTCCACGTCGGGCCCACCCGTCCCGCGGACATCAGACCCACTTCGGGGAGGCGCCTTTTGTTGTGGTGTCCGTGGCTGTATTTGTGTCTTTCCGGGAGCACAGGGTGAGCTTGGCCTTGGGGAAGGACTAGAATGAATCCTCCCACAAGAGCCAAACCAAAGAGGACCCCCTGCCCCAGCCCCCCAGCCATAACCCAGCGTCTGAAATGAGAAACCTTCCGACTTTCCAAGGGGTCAGTGCCGAAGCCGCGAGGGGCAGCCCTGACCCGCGCGGTTCACGCACACGCAGGGCCCATCTGCTTCCCCTACTCCGGCTTTTCTTCTTTGATGACTTGAGACAGTGACTTGAGACAGACAGAGAGAGAGAGAGAGAGAGAGAGAGAGAGAGAGAGAGAGAGAGAGAGAGAGAAGTGTGTTTCTTGGGCACTGCTGGATTTAGGGTAACAAGAGATGGAACAGGCCCTACCAGCTAAAAGCAGCCCTCCTGAAGCCGCACAGCTCGTGAGGGTCGCGGCAGAGGTGCCCATCCAGCGGGAGTGGCAGCACGATGGGTGACCCAGAAGCGGCCCTTCTCGCTTCGAGGCCATTTCGGCTCTTGTCAATTATTGGGTGTTTGTCCCAATAGAAGTAGAATGGCGATCTCAAACCCTTTCAGCACTGGCCTTTTGCTTCCAACAATGCACCACAAGAAGCTTAGAACAGAAGCAGTTTTGTAATTTCAAGAAGCGGAAAGCTTTGGTTTAAACAGACAGAAGGAAAAAAAAGAGGAAGAGGAGGAGGAACGGGAGGAGGAGGAGAAGGAAAAAGAAGAAAAAGAAGAAATAAACCATTGCCTGAAATTGATGTTTAATTTCTGAAGGCCATACCTGATTGGAAAAAACCATCACTGGGGCTGTCTTTCCGGGAAAACTTACCATTCTGATAACGTTCCCCTCAAACTAAAATACTTTTCTGGGGAAAAAACTACCCTGGCTTGGTCCAAGACTCCCACCATTTTGATAAGGGTTTTTAGCTTCAGGACGATTTGTTTCCTATTCACTAGGAATTCCTTTCGCAGATAGTTTCGGAATCCCTTGTATATGGAGGATGGGTCTGTGACCCGAGGTGGCCCGGGATGAAGGACAGTAGGACACGCCGCTGCTCCCTTTTCCGTAGTTTTTCTTAAAGGCCTGGTTTTGTTTAGATGAGGACGGTTCTGGCAGTCGCTCTTCGCGGTTGCTGCAATGCAGGGTACTTGCCGCTCATCTTGCGGCATGGGGGGAGGGGAGGAGAGAGATGGTTTTGTAACAGGCTCTGTAGGCCTGAGTGGGAACGCCTTAAATGATGATCCCCGGGTTAAAAAAGAAAAGAAAAGGAAAAAAGAAGAAGAAGAAGAAAGCAGCTGATGCTGAATTAATAGTTAGAACATACCCCTGGGGCTTGCTCCAACCAGGGGGTCAGGAGTCTTTTCCCCTCCCCCAGTCCCGGATTTCATATCTGTTTTTAACCAGTCTGATCGGATGCTGAGACATTTGTGATGGCTTCTTAAAACCTAAACCCTTGGGCTTAAGAGTTGTCTATTCTCCTGATCAAATTCACCCCAAATACTAACACGTTAAGAAATTATATTGTAAAACCTCCCCAAATCCAATTGACTGGGCTGTTTGGGGCCCATATGGTCAGACAGCTGTGCTGCTCCACGTGAAAAGACACCATTGCCCCTCCGATGGTATAAAGCGAGGGTTCCCCAGAGAGCTCAGACATGACCTAAGTATTAGCTTAGCCTGAGGTGAAGACTGAGTTAAATCTCTCACTTCTTGGAGGTTAAAATAAAGACAACAACAAAAATCGAGATGCACTTTTGAATTCATTGAATATTGCATGCCTCCTGCTGATCCCACCAAAGGAAGGAAGGAAGACCCGAGAAATAAACTCTCTTTAGCTTACCACAAGCATGACTTTAGAGAAACTGAAGACACAGGAAAGAAATATATTATTTGCCAAGCGTACCATGTGTCAGTGACATTTGTGGTTCCCTGTTCAGAGAAGCAGGGTTCTGACCTCAGCCGATGCCTGCGTTAACCATAAAGAACAGCCATCAGAGTGCAATTTCCATGGTGAGAAGATGAAACCGTGCTTTAAAAAGGAAAGCCCATTATGAAATGCCGCCGGATTTAATTTTTAATATGATGGCGGATCCTCTAACGGATTCTTTGCTGGTGTTTGCGTTCAGGAGGAGTGATTCATTCTGTGGCAGAAATCAAAATAACATTCTGCAGTACTTTTAAATGCGCTTCTCGTCTTTAAAGGTGTCCTGAAATAGAATATTCTATAACCTTTCAGTGCTGGTGGCTGGAGAAACGGAATACAAAACTCTGTTCCTAGTGAAAAGCTCAGTCTAGATAAGAGATGGGCTTATTCTTACTTATCTGTTTGTGCATACCACCATGCAGTCTCTTCAGGCCTTAACAAATGTTTTAAAAATAAGGGAGAGAGAGAAGGAAAAAAAAAAAAACCCTCACAAATCAATCTGGAAAGTGAAATGAGGAGAAAACAGTGGTTAGATGGTTAGATACATAAGCTTTTAGTACAAAGTCAGTCAACATTGTTTTGGAAAATTGTTTCAATAGTGAACCTCCCTCATTTGAAAGCTTTATATAGAGTTAGCAGGTACCAAAGTGTTTCTGTGTTCCTTGAATGTCAGTTCACATCTTTGGAAATAGCTACAGAGAGCTCTGCAGTTACTGTGTCTTTAAAAAAAACAATTCTGGAGGTATTATTTCAAGGCATAACTAATGTGGAACCCTGGAGATCATTTGGTGCCCCCCTTACTTTGTATAAAAGAGTAAAGCAGGGCCCAGAGAGATGGAAAAGAGCTTCTAGAGACCATGTGGGTGGTTTGCAGCACATTCAGGGGTGAAGTTAAGAACGAAAACTAGGTCTCTTCATTTTTTGCCTGTATATATTTCTTCCTCATGTATTTAAACACGAAGAGCTTCCTAAAGATTTTGGCGAATAAAAGAAATAGCAGACCCTAGTGAGTTCCTTTAGTATTTAGCTTGGGTTGAATTTTGAAATTTGAGTTTTTTCCATTTATATGTCTCTAGTGTTAGCAGTATTGCTAATTTGGAAAAAACTCAAATTTCAGGAGGTATTTAGGAAATACCTTTCAGGAGGTATTTAGGAAAACACACCCAGCCAGCCTCTTGTGGTCCTAGAGGCACAGGGCAAGAGCCACACAAAAGTGTCAGAGCCTTTGACCCAGTAAATTAAGTGCCACAATGCATCTAGAAAATAATCACGTTAAAGCTAGGATGGGGGTTTTGAGGAAGGACTCCCCCAGCACAAAATAGAGCTATGGGAAACATAGTGTTCGTTCACTGTCTGAGTCTGTGACAAGAGTCTGTGACACAAATTCAATCTATCAGGTCGCAGTTACCACGCCAACTTGTTTTGTTTCTGTATTATTTAATAAATTATTCACATTGCACAAAAGATAAATCTTTTTAAAAAACCCAGAAGAAAAATAAGCTGTGGTGTCGGACACGTGTATGACCTTGGGCAAGTGAATCACTTTCCCTGTTTTCTATCTTCTTCAACATGAGTCGATGATTTCTAAAGTCCCTTTCAGCATGAACAGTGTATGATTCTACTGTTTTTCAACAGAATCCACATGTTTCTGAGTCTGGAAGGTATTGGCTCCCTTTTAAAATCTATCTGGCAGACACTTCAGGGCCTGAAAAGTTAAACGTGGAAAGCTTAGAAAAAAGTAGGGTGTGTGTGTGTGTGTGTGTGTGTACATTTAAGTGGTATTCATCTGAAAGTATAACCATCTTTATTTTTGATTACCCTCTGGGTCAGGAAAAGGTCTATCAGGTGAAAGCATTTTTCTATTTCCTCAGCACGCCCAGCACAGTATAACTGAATGCTTTCTGGGTTTTCACCTAAGCAGATTCAACCTGAGTCCAGTAGTGGATTTAAAAGCCCTCCCCTTTAGCACCCATCCTGACCCAGATTGCAGAGATGAAGGCTAATGATTCATTTGCAAAGCTTATGATGGGCCTCTACTGCAGGGGTTCCCTCTCCCCTCCTTGTTCCGAAAGGAACCCTGTTACCCTTATCATCTGATATTATCACAAGTAAATATTTTTGTCCAATTGCTACATAGGGCATGAGGCTATTTCCTAATGAATTATCTGCCCCAGGGAGGTGAACTATAACTCACCAGTGCTTCAGGCAATTTTTAGCATGTGTCAGATTGTGTTTGCATTAGAGAACTTGGACTGTGTTTTGGTGCAGGCAAACTATCTGTTTTTCTTTTCGTCTTTGTGCAGAGATAGACAATTCAACAAACCTTTACAAGGAGAAAAGCCTTGCTTGTGTTTGAGTCTGATGGGAGCATGAAAACAATGTTCATATGCATAACGCATGAGACCATGGAGGGGATGGAGGGCTCGCATTCGGATGCCAGATATTGTTTTAATGCAAACTGGACAAGGCTTTCTTTGAATTTCATGTAGAGGCAGCTACCATGTACTATACATTATAAAATCAGTGCATTACACTTGGCAAAATGGCCTTGACTAATAATGAAGTGCCGATTGGTGTGTTCATTAAATATACAGATTTGAAGCAGAATTAGTAGCAATGACTGAAATGGAAATCTTGTCAATCACAAATGAGGCAGCTGACAAGTTAGAAGGGGGGGAAAAACCCTCATATGTGATTCAGATCTTGTAGGTTTGTGTCTGAGGATGATTTAAATAAATTTGGACATTAGGTGGTGACAAGATGAAAATGAAAGATAGCATCTAATTGGGCAAAAAGACTGTGGTAGGGCTGGGGGATTGTAACAAAAAATGGAGAAGGAAAAAAGAAAAAGGAAGAACGAGGGGGTCGTTTGGAGGATAGCTTGTTTGTAATGAATGAATGAATAGATGAAATCTAGAATATTTAGTTCCCAGTAGCTGACACTCAGGAGACATTTAACTATTGTTCATAAAATAAAATCAGTGTCCCTCCTGTGTTCAGCAGCATCAAACAGATTATCTGCATATATAACTCTGCTGGGAGGTGAGAGCGTCGTCAGCTGGAAGTACAGTGTGGGGAACGTTGGCTTACTTTCAATGTTTAATTTCAAAATGCAGTAACTAGGCATTTAAAAACACTGTATGGAAGACAAAGGGCCACTGCATGGCAGCTCCATGCCAGCCACAGTACTAGTTAGATGTTTTTCTTATATATCTACAATCTCATGGCCACACTAACCCCATGTTATAAAGAGGTGACTTTCTCAAGTGCAGAAGCTGGTATTGGAATCCAGATATAAGTGGCCCCAAAGACTCTCCTTTTCCCATTACAACTGCATGCTGCAGGCTTCCCAGAAGGAACAACATTATGTAATGTAAAGCTGATATAAAAAATGCTAAGCGTTTGTCCTGCCTCATGTACCAAGTTGAAATAAGCAGGCTGACAGAGCAGATGAAAAACACCACTTAAGATCATTTTTTTCCTGCTAAACTCTGTTGTACACTATGCAAATATGATTGCAAAAGTGGAACATTATCAACACTTTAATGCTGGTTATCTTTCAAAGATGATACTCAGAGTAATCAACACAGACTTAGTACGCTGTATCCTGAATAATACAAATGTTGGCTTGCATCATTCTGACGCCCTCGGTGCGACCTAGAAAGCCGATCGGAGTGATGTATAGTGATTACAGCACTCTGCATTTAAACAGCATCCTAACAGTCACAGCGTTTGGCCACCTGGGGTGGGATGGAGGAGGGAGGTTGGGAAATTGAGGACTTAGCAGCCCATTTGGGGGCAGAGTGCCCTGGGAAGTTCTTGGGGTGGCAGGCTGTAAATCAGGGTGAGTGTATTTCTGGATGATCCCATTTACAGTCTCCCCTAAAGCTGGGCTGCTAAGGCAAGACCCACTGCTTGGCAAAGATGTTCCCTAGCTTTTGGGGCCTGGGCAGATACCCTGAGCTGATAGTAAACAACAGAAAACAAGAGATAGAAAAGGCAGGAAGAAATTTCTTTAAATGATGGGAATTTCATTTTTATGGGATTTGCTTCTCTGTTCAATATTTTTTGGAAATGATGGAGCTGCCGGAGGACAGAAAAAGATGGCGTTCATTACAAATTCCTTACTAGTCATTTGTCTACAACTACAAGATTAGCAAGAGAGTTCCCTGTCCAATAAAGGAACCAGCGTGCTGGCAAAACGCTATGTGGTATGGGGCTGTCAGCCTAGGAGGCAGGAGGCCTCGATTTTAGTTCTAGGTTTGCCACAGGCAGTAAGCCTAGGCAGGTGGATCTTCCTCTTTGAGGCTAAATTCTTCCCTCCCGGGTACATGGAGGATAGAGGGGCTCTTTCTGCCCACTCCATGCTCCACCTTCCTCTTTGTTCTGTTTTCTGCTCCGCTTCATGAGGCTCCCTCCGGACTCCTCAGCCAATGTGCTTGTAGGGCAAGATCTCGACTCAGCAACTGGCACCTCACTATGTTCATTCTCTTAAGGGAATTTGAAAAAGGCCGGACCATCAATTAACATATTGAGAACCCCTAAGCAGGTGAGCCATGGATGTTTGGGGGAGACAAAGGATGCCTTCTGGGCACTGCTGAAACAGTGCTGGTTCCGCATGGCTTCTTGGCCCCTTCTGCTATAGAGGGGACACCCTGTGAAAGAACAAGAATGGGCCTCATAGCCAAGAGAGATTAGAGTCCACATCCCAGCTCCAGACCCTACTTCCTTGGCAACTTTGGGCCAGTTATCCATGTGTAGTACGGGGACAATGATAGTGCCGACACCATAGGGCTGCTGTTTACTGAGAGAACACCCAGTGAATGCCACTTTTGTGCTTCTCCACTTTTCTGCCTCTTCTCTAAAACATGGACCAAGGTGAGCTACTCAGGAGGCTGAGGCAGGGAGAATTGCTTAAGTACAGGAGGCAGAGGTTGCAGTGAGCCAGGATTGCACCACTGCACTCCAACCTGGGCTACAGAGCCAGACTCTGTTTCAAAACTAAATAAATAAATAAAAATAAGAAGATGGACTGAGGTGAGCCCTGAGGACTGCAGCTCCTGTCACTGTTTCCCAACCCCAGAAGAGCGGGCAGGGGCCAGCAGTGAACTGTCATGCCCCATGCCATCCTCCAGCCTGTGTCGTCCATAGCTGACCCCAGCCTGAGCCGAAGGAAAGCCCGGGGAAAGATGACTTTATATCCATCCTGTTGCTGACCCACCATGTGACTGAACAACCATTGTCACAACAGCACCTGAGGAAATGGGAGGCATTGCTATTGCTCTCTCCAGAATTCCAGGAGGAAATTTTAAAATTCCGAGGCAGGATTTCAGAAACTCCTACAGAAATGGAGCTTGAACAGGAGTGGGGTATGTTGCCTCTTCCAGCTGATTGGCGGTCTTGACTCCATTGCGTGTGGAGTGGTCCAAGACCAGAGAGAATCTTAGAGCTGGCAGATGAGGAAACTGAGGCCCAGAGAAGTGAAGTATCTTCCTAGCCTGAGGCCACAGAGTTATTGATGAGGTAGCTAGAAATCGAAGACAAAAGCACTGCACAACCTCACTGGAAGCCAGAGGAAGGCAAGGATGAGAAGAGGCAGAGTTTTATGTTGAGGGAACTTGAAGAGTCTGTTGCTTTGCTCTTTCACTGAGCTTTAGCCCTGCCCTGCTAGAAACCCAGATGTTTGGAGCTCCCCTTGTAGAGAGATAATAGTTACACCTGTGCTGGAGTCATTGTCAGGGTATAGTGACACAGTGCATAAAAATACCTAACACGATGCCGTGTCGTAGTATGTGCTCAATGAATATTAGCTGAAGACATTTTTTACCTAAAAAAAAAAAGAAAGAAGGAAAAGAAAAAGGCAGCCACTGGCAAAGAAAGGCTGTTAGTATAATTGGCTTCGCTCTTGATATAACCAGAGAAGTTCCCTAATGTTTTCTGAGTGATAGTTTAGCAGAAAAGGCTGATAGTCATCATGTTTTCCAAAGGTCTAAGAACGTCTCTTTCTTTTGGGGGACCTGATCCTTAAAGTTAATATCTGTTTTCAAGGTAGTACACCCTATAGTACCCACTGTATTGTCATTCCACTGCTAGTACAATGTATTAACATGAACCGTTACAAGAAGAAAAAGAGAAGAATTTAGATATGGATATGAAATTCTTTGGAGATGTCTAGGGGAGACAAGATGAAATTAAGGACTTGTTTGATGTGATGGAACAATATAGGAGGAATGAGAGAAAGGTTCAGTTTTTAATATCTTTTTTTTTTTGAGACAGAGTTTCCCTCTTGTTACCCAGGCTGGAGTGCAATGGCATGATCTTGGCTCACTGCAACCTCCGCCTTCTGGGTTCAAGCAATTCTCCTGCCTCAGCCTCCCGAGTAGCTGGGACTAGAGGTGTGCACCACCATGCCCAGCTAATTTTTGTATTTTTAGTAGAGACGGGGTTTCACCTTATTGACCAGGATGGTCTCGATCGCTTGACTTGTGATCCACCCGTCTCAGCCTCCCAAAGTGCTGGGATTACAGGCATGAGCCACCAAGCCCGGCCCAGTTTTTAATATCTTAAAGGAGATAATGTGAAAAAATATCCTTATAAAACTTTTGAAAAATAGGGTTCAAAACCCTTCATTTCTGGCAATAAGAACCCTGAAAGCCTCCTAGAAATTTTAGACAAGATATTAGAGTATCCTTTTAATTGCCTAGTAGAGCTTAGAGGAAATAAATACCGCTGGCTTAGAAAGAAAATCTAGCTATATGCTGTTTACAGGAGATGCATCAAAAACATGAGACAAAAATCATGGAAAAGTAATAAGTAAACACTAATCAAAAGAAAGCTGATATAGTTTGCTAATATTAGATAAAATAGATTGGAAGACAATAAACATTATTGGTGACAAAGATAGGCTGTATATAATAAACAATGGAAAATGAACAACGACTTAGGGGAATGACTCTAAACTTGTAAGCCCCTAGAAACATAGCTCCAAAACAGAAAAGCAAAAAGAAAAAACAAGAGGCAAATTTGGGGAGAAAATGACAAATTAGAAATATAGCAAGAGCTTTTAATGCACCTTTCTTGGTAATTGGTTAAAAAATTTGGAAGAGATATAAAATATTGGAACAATACAACTATCAAACTTACTCTACCAGATACATTTGGAAATGTTCTTCTCAACAATTAGAAAAATCACATTTTTTGAGCATATATGGGAAATTTATAAAACTTGATTATGTTCTAACCCACAAGACATCTCAACAAATGCTATGATGTGATATCACACAAACTGTGTTATTTGACTACAATATAATTTAGTTAGAGATAATTAACCCCCCCAATCACATGCTTCTCCCCATAAATCTGGGTGGAGGGAAAGGCATTTCTAAATAACTCATTAATCCAAAAAGAAATCATATTGTAAATTTTTGATTAATTACTACATTTTAAAACTTTGTGTCATGGAGTTACAGTAATACTCAGAGGAGAACTGACAGTGTTAAAATACTTATATTAGTAAAGAAGAAAGACCAAAGCTTGAAGATTTAAGTGTTCAACAAAAGAAGTTGAAAAAGAAAAACAGGATAAGACTAAAAAAAAAAAAAAAAAAGAAGGAAAAATGGAAAGATAAGAAGGAAAGAAAGGGGAAAGGGTGGCGAGATTCTGATCCTAATACCACCTGAAAAAGGCCACAGCTTGTTTACTAATGAGGAGAAACATCCTCCGCGGCAAGTATCTTCCCTGCTCAGCTGATTGTCATGTCTCCTCTGAGGGCCTTTTCACTGCCTCTGTGTTCCCTTTGCAGGGGGCTAGCCAGGTGTTTTCTTCCTCTCTGCAGCCTTCCTCTCTTCCAGCCTAGGTGCTCTGCAATTCCCTTGAGTGACTTTTCTCCTTCTGCAGTTACTTGTGTATTTCGCCTTTTAGACTAGATTGTAAAGTCTTTGAGGTAGAAACAATATATTTCTCATCTCTGCTCCCCCACAAGCCAGGACCTTGTGCAAAATAGCTACCTGGCATCTAGATGTGTTTGAAGTGGAATTGAGTTTGTAGACCGAGCTTGGGCTTATAGGCACGCAGGAAGAAAGGTGGAAGTGAGTTCGGACTCTTCCAGATTTGAGAATCTGGTGATCATTCAGAATAAGCTACCTTCAGTGCAAGGGGGGCTTTCCTGATATGTGGGCCATGATTTTGTGGCTAAGAAACTAAAGAAAACAGAAAGAACGGACAAAGGAAAAATTTCCTAAGCCCTCTTTGGAGAGGAAACACATCCCTTCAGCTGCTGGTTTTGTAGAGGCACCTACTCTATTTCTGAGTTCTGAGTCCTGTCTGGCAGCACTGGCCGAGGAGTGGTTAGGGGTAGGATACGTGATTTTGGAGTTGGGTGCTAATCCGGGCTGAAGTTCCCCCACTACGTTTTTTTGGTGTGGTAAAATATACATAACACTTGCCATCCTAACCTTTTTAAGTTGTATAATTCAGTGGCCTTAAATATACTCACATGTGATGCAACCACCACCACGATCCATTCCAGAATATTTTTATAGTCCCAAACAGAAACTCTATCCCCACTGCCTTTTTTCTTTTTTCAACTGTGCAACTTTGGTCAAGTTGCCAGTTCCTTCATCTGTAAATCGGGGCTAATTGTATCACGTACCAAATAGGATCCTTGTCAGGATTCAATGATGTAATGCACGAAAACTGCTGAACGTGGCGCCTGGTGCTGTGTTTCACTGACAGCACGTTGAATAAATGTTAATATAAGAAATAGCAAGCGGAAAGAAAATTCAAATCATTTGAAGCCAGCAGAGGGACATAGTACATTTTCTCCCAACTCTGAATAATTTGAACTAATGATGAGTCCCTGGAACGCATCTGGGCATTTTGATCAGGCTTCACTAGAACTCTGACTGTTGGCAAATGACCTCTCCAAGGCTGAAAGGTGTCGGGCTGGAGGAGGTGATTTCTAAGATTCCTTCTACCACCAGAACCGTATCTAGCGTGTCGCGGAAACTCAAGCTAATGCTTGAGTGAGTGAATGAGTGAATGTCTACAGACACACTTCAGTGCCTGAAGGGAGGATGGGTATCATCTTCTCTTAGCCATCAGTTTATCAATGAGAAGACTGAGATCCAAATAAGTAGAGTGACTTATTCAAGGTCACACAGTTAGGTGTAGAGCCGTTTAAGAAGCCAAGATTCCTGAACACATTGTGCAATCTTAACTTGAAACAGAACCCAGAGAAATGGGAGAAAAACCCGAGAAAACCTCAAAAGTTCATGCAGCTGCTAACTGAGAGCTGAAGTCTCGAATGTTCAGTGTCATTTTCCCTTCTCTGTCTGTACATTTGATCCAAAGTGTTGCAGATAATTGCTTTTTGTTAAGGAAAGAGCATCCCCTTCCCTTTTAGGAGCAATGGTAACTCTTTTAAAACCAGAATTCCTAGGGAAACTAGGAATTTTTTAGGGGGGTGAGTTTAATTAAATTAAGGTCAAATAGCTTCACTGTTTCACCTTACCTAGGTTCAGACTGCTTTCTGGCCAGGTATGCATAGTAATACCTCACAAAGCCGTGGCAAGGCATTAAATGACATAAAGAACGTGACAGTGGTTTTCACACAGCCTGACATATGGATAGCGGTCAGCAAATATATTTGTTGCAAGAAAAGGAGGATATCATTGATGAAACACACTCTCCAGCCCTATCAACAGCCCACCTGACTCTGCTGGGAAGGCTTGCTGGTGCCATATACACTGTGTTTGCAACGTGACCCAGAGAATAACCTCCGGGGAGGAGGCAGCCATTAGGACTGGAGCAATTTATAGCAAACACGTGCTGCTGTTTTGCTGCGGTGCCCCAGGTTGCCGTTACTCAGAAATGGCTTCCTATGTTTACTGGAAACACTGGGACATGTCTCAGTGACACTCATGCTGCAACTGCAGGTTTCAGTCTCATGCCCTGGGATACAGGTCACTTGGCACAGAGGCAGTCACCGCTTACCCATGTAAAGCAATAGGAAGAATCCTGTACAGGGAATCAGAGCACTGGGTTCTAGAGCTGGTCACTTACAGGCTTTGTAATCTCACGGCTTTACCTCTCTGAACCTCAGAATGCTCTTCTGTGAAACAAGGGGCTTGCATACCTGATTTCTGACCCCTTCCAGCTTGAAAACACTATGATCTATTTAGTTATTGCCCTCACAGCTTTGCCGGTATTGCTGCTCAGTGAAGTGCCATACATGTGTACCATCACACACACACACACACACACACACACACACACGCACGCACGCACACGCCCTTCTAGACCCAGATTCTTCACTCAGGGAAACAGCACGAAAACCTGATGCCCCAGTGAATAGCCAGTTTACTCACCACCTTTAGAATGACATAGCCCAGCTGCTTCTGGGCTAGAACCTCATCCTCCTTGTGACTCGGTGCCTCTGCTGCCAAATGAGGTAGGAATGGTGCAATCTGATTTCCACCCCCTAGAGCAACTGCTTCTGCGGCGCTGCGGCCGCCCCTGCCTTTTCTACCATGGATGCTGCATCAGCACAGAAATGCTGAGCACAGCACATTTCTGAGCTTTTGCAGCGGATTGCTGCAGAGGGAAATGGGTTTCCATTCTTCCCATGACTAGTTCCACCCCGTGGGTACAAGTGGTGGGGGGAAATTTACATTTAAACATTGTGAGCCCCAAAGGGATGAATGTGAGAAACCTTGGCTTTTACCCAGATCAGAGCCCTTTTCTGCAGTCAGATTGAATCTCCCGGGATTGTGATCTCTCCTCCTGCTCCAGACCTACATAGTAAGGCGACATTTGTAAGTGTTTGTTGATGGTGATGATGACAGGGTCTTTAAAGCATCCTAGGGCAAATGCCTGCTTGTCTCTTAAAGGGTGACATTTCTGCAGGCTTCTAGGGTTCAAAGCAACATCGTTCAGGGATGATGGGATGAGCTATTCTTTGTGGTGCCGTCTTTCCTGGCGTAATCTGTTTGGAACAGAACAGGAGAGAGCCCAGGACTCATTAGTTTTGGGGGAGGAGTTTGCGTTTTAATTTCCACAGATGTCTCCCTGAATTGCTCACTCAGCTTTTGGGGTACCAGTTCCATTGGCCAGTCTTTGCTTCCACATAAATCCTACAGCTGATGGACTCTGGGCATTTTTGCCACCCTGACTTTCAGTTTTCTCATCTGCAAAATAATGACTCATGGTGTGATTATAACCTGTATATCCTGCACCTGTGCCCCAGAACTTAAAATAAAAATTAGAAAAAGAATTGCTTAGATGACTTATGACAATGCTCTCTAAATCTTTTTATGATCCCCGTTAGTAAAAATCTTACTGTGCACCCCCAGTGTATGCATATTTATGTACTTGTAAATTATATAATGCACTTAAACCATTAGCCAAATATCTCAAGTCTTAATATACACTTAGGGTAAGGTCCATTATTAATAACAGTAGATGTTAAATCACATTTTTAACCATGGTGATAATTTAAAAAAATTTTGGCCAACTTCATATTGGATTTGAGTAAGTCATCACTGTAATCTTGCCATGTGGTTGCAAAGAGCTCTAACCAGGAGTAGACCTGTCAGCTCCACCTGCTCTGGTTGCTTGTGTTACTGCTATTTACTTTCATTAGGGATTTCTTTGCAGGAATCTTTCTAAGCCAAGGATCCACTTTGTGGGGGGTGAGTTTAATTGAAACTCGTTTGTATAATCTGCAACTTCATTTACCCCTCATGTTGTGGAACTCTTGCTCTTCCCTCAGGATAATGTATTTTCTGGAAGTGACATCTGGGCTACTGACACACAGACAAAAACCTCCTCAATGTGATCAATATGACTTTTTGGGTATTAATATTTGATATGTCAACCCACATATTGAATATTAATAAAGCCAACTTTATGATATTTTAGATTATAAGGAGGCTCTGCTATTTTCTTTCCTGCACTTCCATGGATGGTTTTCTGCATATCCCCTGGGGTAGCTGCCTGCATCTTTTTTTTTTGAAATCACTGAGTTAATGGATGTAAACATGCTTTTGTAAGTTGCCAAAATGGACTCAACCAAAGTGAGGATGCTGATATCTAGAAGAATTTCTTCATGTGTAGAGCTGTACTCACCTAAAGCTCTAAGGACCCTTTCAGGAGGGATTGATATCATTGGTGCTCACAATAAGAATAGGACCAATAGGCCAGGTGTGGTGGCTCATGCCTGTAATCCCAGCCCTTTGAGAGGCTGAGGTGGGCAGATTACCTGAGGTCAGGAGTTCAAGACCAGTCTGGCCAACATGGGGAGACCCCATCTCTACTAAAAATACAAAATTAACTGGGTGTGGTGGCATGTGCCTGTAATCCCAGCTACCCAGGAGGCTGAGGCAGGAGAATCACTTGAACCCGGGAGGCAGAGGTTGCAGTAAGCCAAGACTGTGCCACTGTACTCCAGCCTGGGCAAAAGAACGAAACTCCAACTCAAAATAGAAAAAAAGAATTGGCCCGATTATTCCTAGTTTGTGATTAGAGTCCTGGGCAGGATAGATTAGTCACATGGTCATAGATAGACATTTCTGACTCCAGTGGTGTCCCCTGAATGACTGCTAGAAACATCTCGAATGCATGTCCTTATTCCTCATTTTCCAGATTGGAGATCCATGAGAAGGATGCCTTCTGGGGTTTAGAATGACCATAGGATTATAAACAGAAAGAATGAAAAATGCTTCCACATTGTAATCTCAGAGGGTTTTGTTGAGTTGCAGAGACCCAGAACTATCAAAACGGTTCTAGGATTTTAGACAAAAGACTCAGAAATCTCCTCCTGGATCTTGAAAACCTCTATTCTTTCTTCAACAGCACTTAGGTTACAGGGTTCTGATATAAAATAAGTGGGATCAGGTCATATTGGGTATTGAGGGAGATACTGCTTATGATCAGACAGATTTGGAGGAGAGACATACAGAATATTTATAAATTATGATGTAGGCAAGGCATCCTAGGCCAGTCTCTGCAGCTCACCATGGGATGACATTCACAGAGGGAGGGGTACAGACTTGAAGTCATTGCACCTTGCAGATTTTCCTGCAGAAATCCAGAACCTGGGCTTTTTCTAGAACAGAGTGATAGTCCCTAAAGGGCTCTTTGATAGTTTTCTGGGTCACTCCAAGGGCAGTTGAGAAAGACCCCTTTCCAGAGAACAGTCTGGCTTGACCGCTGGAGGTAGTGATAACCTCTGGAGCAAATTTGGCTTCAGGAAGAATAATAGGGTAGAAGAAGCTCAAGGAGCATGTGTTACCCACCTCCAAAAAGAGGGATTAAAACAGCAAGAGATCATTTTAAGCACCTATCAGTGAAAAATAAATGGCACTTCAGGGCCTTCTTTCTTAATATGTTCTCTGATAATAGCAGAATCATTGCTGGACCAATGCTGTCTAGCAAGACTACAGTTCCCAGCTTACCTTGCTATTAAGTGTGGTCATGTGACTGAGTTCTTGTCAATTGAATCTGAACCACTTTCAGGTCTGTTTATTAAGAGAGTAGTGTGTTTCTATCACGCTGTATTTCTCTTTCCCATGGCATAAACCTAGACATGATGATGACCAGCTTTGAACATGTAGATAATGATGATTCTTAAGGGATGGTTGAACAGCGATTAGATCCCTGAATCTCCATATGGAGCAAAGCTGCTGTCCTACTTCCCACTGAAAACCTGGACTACTGTAGTGGATACTGTGGTAGGGCTTCCCAGGTCTTCCCCTTTAGTCCTGAAGCACTCATTCTCCCAGTTTCTGGGAGCATTAGGTGCTGGTGGGTTGCATTTGAATTCTTCTTTAGGAATTGCTCTTGGCCAAAGAGCTGCCTCACCAGAAGTTCCACTCCCTCCCCGAGAAGCATCCCACATCCAATGATTTGACAGTGCTAAGTTAAAGGTCCTGGCCTCCATGCCTCAGTTTTGGACAACTCTAAAGGGACATCAGAGCCCCATGTGGCATTGGCTGAAGCTTCTGGTGCAACCACAACAATCTCTCTGCCCAGATGTCGCTCCAGGGAGTACTCCCCAGGAAAGCTCTAGCATGCAAGTCTCTTAACTAGTCTATTTCCTGGAGAATTCAAACCAATATGCCACTCATATTGTGACTGTTACATTAACATAGGGGAAAACCCCTTATTTATTTATTAGGTCTCTACAGTGTTGTATTTATTTATTACAACATCTCAAACTTTGCCTTCTTTCAATTATTGAGTAACGAGAAACAAACTGACCTGTGGATCAGAAGATTTGACTCCTTATTCTGTTTCATGAGGAACTCATTTTTTTTTTTGGCTTTGAACTTCACCTCTCTTGTCCCTAATCTTATTTGAGAAATGAAGATGTTGGATTAGATCATTTTAAAGGTCTCATCCAACTTTAATAATCTGTGGTTTATCTTCTTTCTCTTCATGAGGATGGAGAGAAACACAGTGACAGTTGTATTCCTTAAAAATTTCCACCCAAGCAAAAGATTTGGAATGTGACCCTCCATTGTGACCTCTCTTTTGCTTCTACTCATCCCTTCTCCTTACCTTCTGCCTGCACCACCTGTCCTCTGTTTCTCTCTGATGCATCTCATCCACCAGCCAGAGAGGAGGTCCAGGAAACCTCAGACATTTCTTTGAGCTCAGCTGCTTCTGTATGCTTCCAGCTGAAATTCCATCTGGAGCTAATGTTGTAGGCCAACTCCTCCTGTGAAAGCTGCCTTTTTTCCATTGTACCTCTCCACCCACACCCCAGGGGTGGCTTGGGCAGAACTGGCCACTGAGGAAAAACATTGTACTTTTTCTTCCCCAAGTCAGAGCTCTTTTGCAATCAAAAGGCTCTTGACACATGTCTCTGGGAACATGATGCTATGCCAGGTGCTATAACTAGTTAGGGGGAACTGGCCCTGCCTTCATTGCACTTACATACAAGCTTGGGCATTGTCACTTGAACAATTAGAAATGGTTAAGTTTTTAAAAAAATGATGCCTTGCAGTTTATAAAGTATTTTTAAATTGCCTCAATTAATCTCTATGGCAACTTGGTAACTCTGGAATTATTCTTCTTCTCATTTTACAAATAAAGAAAAAGAAGTTAAAAATGACTGCCCTAAGATCACATTCTAGTTGGCAGAGTTTGGATTGGAACCTAGGTCTTCTAACCATAAAACTTGTACTTTTTTGTTTCCCCTTTTGCTAATCTAATAAATTTCTTCTCAAGATCTATGCCAAGGTCCTCTAGGCAAGTCACTGGACTCTTAGGAATCTTGGCTTATGTCTTGGTATGTAAGTTATCAGTTTGCAATCCACCACTCATTCTCCCAACTAAGTTGGGAATGCCTTGAGAACAGAGCTTGTGACTTGGTCAATCTTGAGTTTCACTTGAATAACTAAATATTCTTGGTTGACAGTAAATTAAATGTGTTCTTACCCCTATAAT